CTGTCCTTAGACCCTCACATCGTACAAGGAAAAACTTCCGGAGAAAACCCACAGTATATTTAAACACTTTAATTGCCACAAAGTTATAGAGAGATTGTATAGGTTCACCTTACCTTTCAAAAACACTCCAAAGATTCTGATTATGCTGAGGGTGTTGGGTCAGCAGTATCCATTGCTTTTTCTAAAAATACATTTAAAGACTTGGTGTCCTCTCAGTGGGTCTGATGGGTCTCCCTGGTTTTTATAACTGCTGAACATGTTTTTTTTGTCTACTTAAACTGTTTTTTAATGTTATCGAAACCTTGATAACTCAGAGTTATGTGTGTCAGAGCTTTAGTTATATTAATTATTTATTGATGGATGGTAACGTTTTAGTAGAAAACATCCTGTGATGAGCAGCGCCTCTCTGATCAGCAGCACTGTGCTCATTATAGTATGATCCCAATCAGATTAAATGGTGGTTACATAACCTGCCAGAGAGAGGGATAGAAGGAGGGGAATATCTGCTATGAAAGCGAATCATGGGAGGAAGGCAGGAAGTGAGGACGGGGAAGAACAAATCTGCAGAATGACATGATTTGGTGCACACTGACTGTTCCCATTTGAACACAGGCACTGCCATTTACAGTATCCTGCCTCCACCCGATCTCCCTCCATCGCTCGGCACGCTCCCAGTGCTATGAGCCACGTGCCTGAGTACTGAGCAGTACTGCAGCACAGCCAAGCTCACACACACACACACACACACACACACACACACACACACACACACACACACACACACACACACACACACACACACACACACACACACACACACACACACACACACACTCACACACACACACACACACACACACACACACACACACACACACACACACACACACACACATCACACACACACACACACACACACAGCAATGACACAGCTTCTTTCTCCCAGTCAACAGAGGGAGCCACCTGAGTGTCGCTGTGATTATCTGTGTGAGGCGGTGTTAATCTTTCTGTCGCCATTATAGAGAACAGACTGTTCAAACAAGATGTGTTTGATCAGTGCAGCACTAGAAAATATTCTCCAGTTGAGCATGTGACCAGAATAAAAAATCCATGTTTGAGATAATCCTGGTAGTAAATGACAATCCTGATGGATAGCTTGCCTTAATAAATGAAGATTGCACGGATTAGAGTTTGTGAATGCCTTTTCCTATAATGAAATAATGTGCATAAATATAGCTTTGGCCATTTGTTCCATGGCAGGATTTGTGCTTAGACACTCCTGATTTGATAAAAGCTCAGACATGTCCTGGATTAAATTAAAATCCTATAATGTGTTAATATATTTTTATTTGATATGTACTGTCACATTTACATGTATAATAACCTTTTCTTTAAAATCCACGAATGATGAAATAATAATAGTGGGGGATGTAAATGCAGGAACATGACTGCTGTTTAATCTTTTTTATTATAAAGCAGTCCTTCTCGACTAAAGCCATTCTTTGAACATCATTGCATTATATCAGCCACGTCTCAGCTCTCTGTCCAGGTTTGGCCTGTTTGTGAAAGTGGGTGTGCAGACCTTGATACAGTGTCCCCACATTCACATGCTGACGTATGCACCCTGCTGCAGGCAGATACAGTGGTTTATCGGCGCAATCGACCCTCTTCACTTCAGCGATCACATCCCCTCTCCTTCTCTTCTCTCAATCCCCCCTCCCCCTATTTTACCTGGGCTTGTCACCAGCCTTCAATCTCTGAAACATCCAGGTTTCATTTTCCAGTGAGTGTCATCTCTCCTGCTCCATCACTACATGTCAACTGTCGGTCTCGTTCTCTGCCCCTCCATCTGTTCATACAGGAGCCACAAGACTAGAAGCTTTTTCTGACATAACACCCCTCCCTCCTCTCTCCATCCTTTCTCCCTCTGTCTCTCCCCCTGCATCCCTCCATCTATCCATGGGGATGGGTTGGTGGGGAATTGTTTTAAAAGCTGCAGGGGGGAGGAAGCTGGTTAGTAATCAAAGCAGCTAACACTGGCAGGCAAACCCTGCTGCTGCAACGCCACAAACGCATCGACACGAGCATGGGGTGAGAGTGGAGGGGATGACGGGGGGCAAATTGCTGCAGTGCTTAAGTGATCATTGCTCTGTCTTCTCTGTGTCCCACCCTGCCTTTTTTTTTAAATCAGTACATTGACTATTGCAAGATCATCTTTCATTTTCATTTTGAAGGGACGGACTGCAGACAACGATGAAGACTTCCACTCGGCTGACTCCTCACCCCCCCTCCCTTCCACTCACACAACGCCCCTCCCCTCTCAGGCGGCCTAAAAGCCTGGTACTGGAGGTAACCTTGAGATGTGACGCATTTTCTGCCTGAGCTAATTTAAAAGAACAGGACAAGCACCGTGTAAGAATAAAGCCTCTGAAGCATTTTTTTCATTTTACATTTCCGTCTGCCGTCATATACGTGCATGTTTATATTGAATGTCTACATTCATCCTAAAAATATTTGTGAGTTTACCTGAAAAAAAGAATGTCAGCCCTTTTTAAATGTAGGTCAACTGTTTTCTGTAAATGATAAAAGGCAGTTCAACAGTCTCTCACAGGACATCCCTCTGCAAGCTGCTCCATTTAATGTGACTAATATACGACATGTAATAAAATCTTTAAGGTTTGGCCGGCACAAAATCCTGCAGAATTCCCTAAAGAAACAGAACCAGTCCTCCACCAGCTAATAACCACATTTGAAACGTACTATTTTTGTCTTTTAATTAATCTCTCCCTCCTTAGTGTGTCGATCCTTCACTCTTCCAGACCCCCACCCTCTGCCCTGCACCACTCCTGCAGCAATATCCTCCCAGTGCTCTCTCCATCCCTTCCTTTCTTCCTCCTCCTCATCCTCCCTCTGTTCCTGTCGCTTCTCACAAGTGTCCCAGACATGGACACCCATGGGAACCTACCTCAAACAGTGCAACTACACACACCCTAAAAAGAAGGAGCGTATCTCACCCAAACTTACCCACTTTTCTTTTTTTAAAACAGCTCCACAGACAGGATGTGTACATACCTACATACATGACCCCTTCCTTGGTCTTGGCTGCCGCCTCCTCCATGCCAGCTTTGGTCTTCTCTGCGGCGGCCACCACCCCCTCCTTGGCCATGGAGAACCCCTTCATTAGTACATCCATCTTGGGCGACGAGACGGCTGGGCTAGCCTGCTCCAAACGGGCCTGGTTGGTGCTTACAGTGAGCGTGCAAAAGAGATGATGTGAGAGCGTGTGAGTCTGTGAGTATGCGTGTGTGTGTGTGTGTGTGTGAATGTGTGTGCCAGTGGCTCCTCCTCCCTTTGGTGCTACAACAGAGGGCTGAGAGGACTGCACAGCAGGGCTACAACACGCAGACTGAGAGGAAGAGGGGGGAGGAAACAGTCGGTATGAACAAGATGGAGAGAAGAGGAGGATGAGGTAGAGGAGGAGGAGGAGGAGGAGAGATGGCCGGATGCTGCAGCATTTTCAAGTCATGCTGCAACCCCCTCCTCAGCCACACCTCCACCCGTCATCCATCTTTCTCCTGGTGATTCTCAGCCACAGTGCAGCTGTTTGCATATTTTGATTGGCAGATTTCTGTGGACACACCTATAGATGCTTAGCCTGTGTACTGTTACATAACCATCAGAGCATCAGCACAGGACGCAAAGAAGATTTCTCACATCAAGTAACCCGATATGTACATCGCTGTTTTATTGTATTCCATTTCATTTAATTAATAGAAAAAAGGAGAGCTCCTGCAGCAATTTCCATTCTTATAAGGATAAAGCAAAAATGCTTTGTCATCTCAACCTGAATGAATCACCACTCTCCCCTTCCTCTTCCTCCTCCTCCTCCTCCTCCTCCTCCTCCTCCCCCTCCTCCTCCTCCTCCTCCTCCTCCTCCTCCTCCTCCTCCTCCTCCTCCTCCTCCTCCTCCTCCTCTTCCTCTTCCTTATTTTCTTCACGTTTATCCCAGACATGCCAACTCAGCAGAACAGCAATTATATACGGTTTTGATGTTATTTTTATTCATTTTAATTAAATAGTTTTTAACCAAATAGTAACCAAATAAAGCCACATCATGGCCACAGAAAAAAAGCTGCTCCATCTATATTTATTGTTGTATTCTGTCTCAGAACGTAGTAACGTGATATATTTTGAAACGGTGCCATTTTCAGAAGGGAGGATGTCTCATAGTTTCCGTCTTGTCGTACAGAATCATACTGCCCTCTGGTGGCCGTAACATAAAATACATCATGACACGGCATTTTGATTGACTGATGGTTGTCGTTAGACGTGCTCAAACCTTAGATATCATGTGACCAAACGACTCAATATCAATGCAGCATCGAAATACTACCCGTTATATTGGATTTTCTTGGAAAACTTTTTGCATGAAAAAAGCATTTTGTATTGAGGTATATGTAAGATGCTTTGGATAAAAGCTGCAGCTAAATAACATATAGTGTAATGTAAAACATGTCATGTTTTGGATTTTCAAAAAGAGGAACATGTGAAATTAGAATCCATGGCACAATTGCCATGATAAGGAGTCCTAAAATATTTTACTTGCCAACAATAACCTGATACATGTCAGTGTTGTCTCTTGATCGCAATAGTTTTTAATCTTACTAATTGAAATGTATATTGAAATAAAACATTGAAATATTGTTTTTTTATGAAGAAAACACATTTCCCTGAGAGGAAGACTTTTCAATCACTATCACAGGGAAACTATTAAAAACTCTCAGGCTTCTTACCCTGCTACCATTACTCTCCTTGTTGTCACCATTTAATAAATGGAAAACTACATATTGTTAAAGCTATTAGAGGCTCTTCCTGAATGATGTCAAAACACTCTGTAAAACAAAGAGCACTAGAAATGTTGCTCACCGTGCCTCCAGTTTTTTTCTTCCGAGTTACAAACAAACATCTCATTTGTGATCTTACAACAGTTCACTCAACCGTTTGGTTTTAAGAAAACATTTATTCACATTGATATAAGTACATTTGTGAGTGCGTTTTTACATACTGTATTTGTGCATGTAGGTAAATCTCTATGTGTGCATCTTTTGCTTTCTCACAAGCATGCTTAGTGTTAAAACTCATACGTTTGTGAATGCCGTTTATGTACTAAAAGAAACATCAGTTCTGCATTTGATTATTTTTTGTACAATTTCCCTTTGATTTAAGAGAGACAGAACTAAAACAAACTGAAAAAAAGAGAGAAAGAAAAACCCAAATCGAGATCAGGTTTAGCAGCGGACGGATACATTTGACAGGTGATATTGAGCTTATGAACACATAGCATTCTCACACTAACAGTTAATATCTCACATACTAATCTAGGCTACAACACTATCTCACATTCCTGAGGAGTTTCCTCCTCCTCCTGTTCCTTTTTTATCCTTCCATAATTTATCCCCTTTTCCTTTTTACTCCTGTGCTTTTGTCCATTTCTTCCTTTACATGTCCTCCTCTTCTTTTTCCTCCTCTTCTTTATTCCTGGACGTTGAGGATCTGTGAAGACAGTCCTTGGTGCCAGTTCTTCAGCTTGGCAAAGCGGGGACCTTTCACCTCTGACTCAAACTTCTCTCTGGTGGTGGGGAAGGCATTTACAATTTTAAAGGAATAGTTTGCTATTTAGTTAGAGGAGAAATGTGACAGCACTATTTAGTTTGTACACTTAATATGAAGCTACTACCAGCAGATGGTTAGCTTGGTGTAAATATTAGCTTCTCAAAACGTCAAAGTAATGCCACATCTAAAGCTATTTTTGGCAGTGACCAGTAACTTCCTGGATTCTCTGCAGGCTACATGGCGTGTCGTTCTTACCTCGACTTCGCCAGTGCCTCCTCATCTGGGTCTTGCACTGCATGGAAAATAAACATTTGGTAAGGTCAAAGAAAAACCTAACGAGACAATAAGCAGTAATGAGAGGATATCAGAGTCTGAACAAAAATTGTGGAGAGTTCCAAGAATATCAAAAGAGAAGGTAGGAAAAGACAAAAGGAGGAAAGAAGGAGTTTGTGTACTGACTGTATTCAGTTCCAGTGATGTGGGCCAGCATCCTGAAGCTCTTGGACTGCAGATTGGCAGCACGACGAGCCCATTCAGACATACTATCGTTCGTATCTCCTAATGGCCTGATCACTGCCTGGTAAACTGGAGATGCACAGTCTACCACGGGGTCCTTGATGGGCAGAGATCCACTGCAGGACACACAGTACTGTTAGAGCTCTGAGTAGTGTGAACTGTATTTAAAGCCAACTAATATGTTAGATGATCAAAAAGTACTAAATGCCCAGGATGTAAGATCATCTACAACTGAAGAGTTGATATTACTTTTGTGTTTTTGTTTTGTTGGTTTTTGGGAGTGGTGAATTGAGTACTCAAATCTTATCGTTAGAGAAAAGTAGCAATAACCGTATGTTACAAGTAAAAGTATCTTTATATATATATATATATATATATATATATATATATATTAAAGTATATTTAACATGTAACTTTAGTCAATGCATAACACATACAGTATAAGCATTGATAATATATCTAAAATAACAAAAGGAAAAAAAATGTTTAATGTATTTTTTATTAAGTCAGAAGCAACTTAAGCTATTTTAAAAATCATACAAGCATTGCCTTTGAATGTATTGAAGTTGAGGCTAAAAATGGAAAGCACAAGTCAACTCGACTTAAGTAAATGTCCATTAATGTTTTAGGTGTCTTGCCTCAGGTGTATTTTTCTAAATGGCTGAATAATTTAACAAATTTAAGAGCCATTTGGAGCCATTATTTCCCAACACTAATGGCCGACAACTTGATACCTTACATTGTTATTTATATTCAAATAATACAATTACCAAGCTAGAATGTTGTAGTAGTCAAATACAAATCCTGATTATTAAAATGTGTGCTACTTCGATTGGTGACTTCCAAATAATGTTGGCTATTCTTTTTTTGGGCAACCAGTGCCTTTATTGAAGAGACAGAGTTGAAATGGGGAGACAGAGGAAATGACATGCGGCAGATGGACCTGAGCTGGATTCGAACCTGGATCCTCTAGTAGTACATGGGCCCAATGTTGGCTATTCTACACCTTTTTGTTATTAATAGCTTTATTAAACCAGATTGTATTACATTATGGGCAGTTATTACTCTTAGATCAATAATTGCATTGTTGCTTCTTGTTGCTATAAACTTCACGTTTAAGATAACTGTGAACAGTAGATATTGAACCGAGATTACAAAGCAACAAGACTGGATAGTGCCTTCCTTGGTATTCTTCAATGAGTGTTAGAAAAGTGAGTCAGTACCGATCTAGCAGACATGTTTTAAAAACTTCAGATTTGATACTCAGAACATTCCCATGCCATGAACTCCCATCAGGTTCCCGAAGCTGTGATGATACTGAACTCATCTCACACTCTCACACTTTCACCAAAGTACCTCTAAGTACTTCTAGATAGGAAAATGAACTCCTGGTTAGTGAGTTTGAACATGACATCATACTCGGACACAAGAAAAAAACACATCAAAATGGACAATAAGATGCTGTGGTATTTGTCAACATTTTCCACAGTATTATTTATTATAATATTAATTCTAATTATATTAATATTATAATAGTTCAGGTATATTAGTTAAGGGGACACAAGGAGCAATGCACAAGCTGTTTTTAAATTATAAGACAAATGCGAGGAGAGGCGGGATAGAAAAGGAGCGCTGCTGTACTTACGACAAGGGGGAGCCCACCTCTTCGCTGAGGTCATAACCAGGGAGGAAGGATGGGGGGGGGAGGTGGAGGACGGCACAGGTGTGGTAGGTTGTTTGTTTTTTTGGTTGTGGATGGAATGAGCAGAGGAAAGTGGGTGAAAAGCACAAAGGAGTACGGGGCACGGACAAAGACAACATGGAAAAGCCTGCGCATTGGGTAAAGTAGAGTTGTAGCAGCATAGGCTAAAAGGTAGGCTTACATGATTTAAAGCTGCTTTTCAGGAGATGGGTCCAAAAAATGTCAACATATTTTCTCACTTCTGACTGCTACTGATATCTAGCATATCTTTGGAATTGAAACAAAAAAAGCTTCCTGGATTATACATAGATACAACAGGTTTGTGTCAGTTTGATATATTTCAACTTTCTGTCATTTTTCGGCATATTCTCATACACTGCACTCTAATTTGTTCACAACCCACATAATCAGTTCACATTTCCACACAATCATAAGCCAGGACACATGTCCTAGAATAAAGAATGACAAAGTCTGCATCGGTAGGAGGTCTTGGTGGATGGGTTGTTCTCAAATCACAGGACTTTTTCCTAACCCACACCAAGTAACAGGATGTCAACGCAGGTGCTTGCACATGATCCCTCCAATGAAAACGCCCAAAAGTTACAAACTTTCCGTGAGATATCATTCAAACTGCTGTATGAAGTTACGTTGCAGTTTTCCATGCTGAATAGAAAGGTAATGAGCCTCAGCAAATGTGCTATGAGAATAAGACCAGGATTAGAGTTTCGGCAAAAAATATCAAAGAAAATCTGCAAATGACACCCCAGAATAAATGGCTTAATACCAGTAGCAGGAAGTGAGCGAGTAAGTATGTTTTTTTTGTAATTTGGGCAATCTTATCCTTTAATTCCTTAACAAGCGGGTCATGTGATGTGAAGTGTGTGAGTGCAAAGAGCTCATTAATCTGGAGAGAGGATTATTTAGGTTGTGTGACCTCACCTGTCGTGCCCTTTAGTCTGCGATTGCCCTGCAATGGCGTCCATGATGGCGTCCTGTGAGTACATGCTGATTGGTGTGTTGTACTGGGCGTGAACAATGGTGGCCTTTCCACCCGGACCCCTCACCTCAATGGGCTTGTGGGTGGACAGGGCCGAGTCTTTCAGAGCAATGGGGTTGAAGCTGGGGGTGTACTCCATACTGTCAATGTTGAGTGGGGTCGGAGGTCAGTGAAGGGAGTGGAGAGGTTTCAGGTGTGGATGAGAGGTTAAAGGATAGGGGAGGAGGGGGGGAATTGAGAGAAAAGAAAAAGGGAGAAAGCACCAAAGTGAAGGAAACTGGGTGGACGTGTATTAATGCTGCTGACAGACAGGCGGGGCTGTTGTACCGCTCAATATTCACTTTTGGAGATCTACTGTACCTAACATAGACTCAACTACACAGACCAAATCACATCACACTTTGTAGCTGTGTCCCAGGTCCATACTGCTCAGACAATATAAACCTTTTTCAGGATTTCACACTCAAATTGTTCAAATTAAGCAGGTTTAAGATGCTTTATCTTCACCACAGGTATTTTAAAAAAAAAGACATTTTGGAAACACATTTCTCTTTCTCCATGTTAAAGCCTCAAGTATGGAATTTGTTCTTTTTGCACACACAAAATAATTGGATCGTCTAATATTTATACAAAAAAAGACTCTTCAGAATAATTACAAAGTGGATATATCACTCCCAGCATTTACTGTGACTTAGATTATGGAACATTTAACTACATGATACAATGTTATCATATATATCCATGCAGTGTGGAATAGGGACAGAGGCTTCATCCATTACATGAGGCTAAACTACTATTTTGTACATGACAACATACAAGCTATTTCTAGAAGGAGAGAACAAAAGTGCTGACATACCAGTCCACAAAACCACAAACATGCTAATGTAACACACCCAAACAGATTAATATCTGCATATTTCAAATGAGACAGCAAAATACTGTACACACGCTGAAAATTATGTTTTACTGATACTGCCAAACATGGATGTATGACACACAAAACACCACATGCATTTACACACACGGTAATATACTGCGGTCCATTCAGAAAAAGTATATACAGTAAATGCTATAGACTAAAGGAGTTGGAAAACATAAATAATAATTGAGTACTGAAGTAAAGTAGAAATCACTAACTGTATTTTTTGGATGGATGGATGGAAACAGCAGCAGTATTAACAATAGTTAATTTATATTTGAGTGTTGTATATCTTGGTTTTAGAGTTGGATCATTTTGTATCTTGACTGTAGCTTAGTCCTACCAAAGCTTTACATTTAAAATGTATTTGGCCTTGACAAAATACTTTTCCAACATACAAAACTAAATATCATTCATCTTCAAGCAGAAATCTCTATCTATGAACGTACTACTACGGAATGTGTTAAATAGATGAAAGGAAGTATAGTCGAAGGAAAAGTAAAACAATCTTTCACAATTTACTCAAGTAAAGCAGCAGCAACTTCAAACTGTTCTGAAGATCTGTACTTGAGTAGATGTAAAGAGTTACTTTTCACTTGTATGCTGTTAATAACATGAAAAAACAAATGATCAGCACACTCGATCTGCTGGTTCAACTTCATGCTCATGACTGCATGTTGGACATGACTTCACTCCACACCCACATCTCAGAAAAAGAATATTATCTCTCTAATGATGTATTCTTCATGCACATCAAATACTCGAGACATGTGGCGGTACTGACTTTGCAGCTGTGTTTGCGATAACCTGAAACACACCAGAGAGGAACAGACAGACAGACAGATAGAGAGGAGGAAAGAGTGTCAAAAATGACCAGAGGGTATTTTGGTGATAACAATGGCACTGTGTGTGCAGAGGAAACTATAACTACAACACTATGCTGTAATCCCATGTACAGGTCAGAATACCAGCCGTTTGTCATCACTGGGATATTTCCCAGCGTCCCCTGCATCATCGGTGACTGACAAGAGCAGAAGCGTCTCGAATCACATGACACAGAGACACATTTAGCACAGAACAGCCACAAATAAACACCGCTACAAAAACACATCCATACCACCGTGTAATAATTGAACCTTTCATTTGCCTTTACTAGGAAATCTCAGATCCTGTAGAACCAGCTCAAAAGGTTTCAAATATCAAAATGTGTAATTAATGGTGTTTGATGGCCGTATTATCAGAACTTTATTTGTATTTTTAACAGTCAATACAGCTTTTCTGGGCTGCTGCACAAGCCTCTGCTAAATAAATCTACATTTTTTATTTAATCATCATCTTTCAATTGCAAATTAAAGACCAACCGTGGTCAGTTTAGGAGCAGGCTGCCAACCTGCTGATCTCTTGCTGGCTTGTTACCTGCTAAGTTTCAAAGACGAAATTCCACTTTGCGCCGTGTGTTTAGTTTGTCAAATTCGAAGAGTTTGGGCCAATGTTTTCTTAATATTGCAAGAGAGTACATTCAGCCTTCTCGGTGGTTTGCGCTGTCCGAGTGCACTCTTGGTTAAATTATGTGTAATTCCTTCCTGGTTGAAAAGCTACTTAAATCAGCCCATATCTCTGTAATCTACAGGTTTTCTGTGTGCAAATGTTTTCTGTGATCACTTTAAAGGTTTGCTTAAATGTATTTGGTATGTGTGCCTGACATTTTTCGCCGCTATTCTTGGACAAGCTCTCCCTGTAAATCAGTTTAAATGTGTTCAGTTTCACTCTACCATCGCAGTAATGGGAGTGCAACACATCAATCAGTGGAATAGAACGTACAGTACATGGATGGGTTCGGGGTACAGTTGGTGAGGTGGAACGTGCTCGGCAGCACCTCACACGTGGGGTATCTCAGGTTTGGCAGGGGGGCATCCTGGGGATTCAGGATGATGATGTGTAACCGGAGTGGAACATTCCCCTACCAACAGCTGCTCTCTCCTGTGCGCGCGCGTGTGTGTGTGTGTGTGTGTATGTGTGTGTGTGTGTGTGTGTGTGTGTGCACGCTTGGTGAGGTGGGGTTGCTGGCATGATACTGGCGTCATCGTCACCTGACTTACCGTTGGCCTTTACTGTAAAGCAGCTCAGCTCCAGAAGGGAAACACATTAGTAAAGACTGATATCTGGGTGTGACATAGGTCAGAGTCAAAGCAGATCGCATCCTTAATTAACATCTACAAGTATTTCACGGCTTCACCATACCCATGCCATACCCCTGAGGAGAGTTCCCCTAAAACTGTGTCCTCAACTTAACTCCCACTGACCTTTACTCAGTACAGCACACAGTACAGTCGAGATAAAGGCACTGATGATTTGGCAATTCAAGGTGAAATGACTTTGTATTGTGAAAGAAATAACCTAGTAAACTGTTTTTCTTGTTAAACAAAAACCCACCACTGTATTGTCCGTGTAATGAAAGCCCTACTGTATACATCCTATTGTATTGTTGCTCCACGTTATGTGTTCCTTCACCTTTTTTAGGCCTCAAACCCCAAAATGTACGATAGTGGCCCTACAATGGGACTCTAGTGTCAAAACGTCACCTTCCTGTAACCTCGCTAGCAATTTAACCAAGCTTCACACGCAAGTCCGAGCTTATTTAGATACGGATAGATACGCAAGATAAAAGGCCTCAAAAATGGAAATCAGAGAGTTGAAACAGCAAAAAGGTTTCTCTAAAAAGAATATTTGCAACATCATCTCCCTGGTTTCATTCCTGTAGTCGGATCTCTTGTCACTCTGTCACCTGGATGCCAGCCAGGTCTGTTTGTGTGTACGCTCCCAAAATAGCACAATGTGTGAGAGGAATGACTGATGGGATACCGATGGAAAGTTCTGAGTATATTTCCTCATTTAGGCACAGTTAATGTGAGGTTAACTGGGGATGTGAGGTGCTTTTGCTTCAGTGAAAAGTAGTACTTTAGTTAAGTGTCATTACGTCAGCTGGCCTTGGTTTTGGTGTTATCACGTAGGAGTTACATCTTCTTCTCCTAGTATTTAAAAACTGTAAGGTAACCTACCACAGTGATGAAACTCCCAAGGAAGCTGTCGACCCCTGTCCTAAATTGCCCTGCATCATCATCATTTCACTGAGAGTTTCAGCAGAGTAAAGGCCAACTGGGGAATTGTACTGCCCCGCCTGGCCGGGTGGAGATAGGGCAGACGGTTGAGGAGGAGGCAGTGGTTTTGACCGGGGGTCGATAGGGAGATCGGGGTCTTTTTTACCAACTTGGAGCATTTGAACTTCCTCTCCGAAATGTTTAGGCCCGACCTCTAAATCCTTAAAAGATGAGAAGAGGTCAAGATCGGTATAAAGAACGTTTGAAGGTGAAACGAGAGTAAAGGCATCAGCTTCCGTCTTCATATTCCTTTCTTCTGGATTGCTGACCTTTGGCCTCTGCATACTAGGCCTTCCTGCTGTTGCACTATGAATATGTGACACTAGAGGGCAGCAGGACACTGGTGAAGATTATCACAAACAATCGTACATAACGGGCATGACAGACACATTTACGAACATGAACAAATATGCAGTTTTACAGCCGCAAATGTTTGTGTTGATTAATATTTGTGGTCATTCTTTTTTTGTTTCTCTTTGTACCTTCTGGTGGGGGATGACTGGCATGGGGGAGTCCATTCTTGGAGTTGAAAATGCTGCTGCACGTCTTGATCTAGAAATGAAATGACAAAATAGCCATTTAAAATATAGTGTAACACCATATTTCACCACTTTGTATTGGATATTTCAAAGGCATTTTACAGAGAACCAATTGATGTATATATTTGTAGGTGTACTAATGTAAAGCCCCAGCCATTTATAACAATGATTTCCTCTTAAACTCCCACATTGATTTTGCTTCTCTGTGTTATTTCTTAGGGGAATATCCAGTACCTAAAATTAGCTTGTTCTACTTAAGTTTAACGGACAGGGAAAGTGTGCTGGTTGTTTACTTCTGCATGGTGAGTGCCAGTGTGTTGGAGGCAGACTTGATCTTGTTCTGGGCGTCCATGTGCGTCATCCCCTCGGTGGTGACCCCATCGATGGCTGAGATGATGTCGCCCTGGGCCAAGCTGCCGCCCACCGCCTTGCTCCCCGGAGTTATCTATGGAGGGGTCAAGAGAGCAGGTCACATTGGGACCCCTGCCTCCGCAGGAAACAAACAAGCAACTGGAAAATGTGTACAGATACACATGACAGATTGGAGGGATAGTTAGGAGTAATTTGCCATTGATGAATGAAAACTAAGAAATACTTTCCCTCTGCAATTCAGCAACTCACTGTACATACTATGGTAGATGTGTAGATGGTCAATAAACAACCCTCAGAGGTTTTCTATAAAAAGAGTGGAACCAATTTTTTTATTCCAGTATCTAATCTGTATCTACAGCCTGACCCTGAAATCAATAAGAACAAGTGTTTAACTCTTTTCCATTCTCACACCATACAATGATATTTAGCTGAGTCCTAATGCCGGCCACAAAGCCAGACTTTAGCGCTTAAACTACACGGAGAGAGACTGTGAGAGAGCCCAGAGGCCTGGGGCATACAGTATTAGGTCTAGATTTACAGTCGACTCGTTTAAAGAGTTAAAAATAAGTAACGCCGCCGATGACCCTGCTGAGCCCCCCTTCACCCCCCAAACATACTCACCTGCTACTGACATTCATGCAACACTTCCTTGAATAACGTAAACTCTTCTACAATCCACACTTTATCAACATCATACCACTTATTGGTTCTACTTTTTCTGGTGTCAAAGAAACGCGTCCTTGATACTCCTGTCAAACTTTGTCTGCTTTTTTAACAGAATGTCTTCCTTTGAATTACATTCCTCGTCTGTATGGGTATAAATGTGTGTGTGTAGTGTTTTGTGTGAGTGTGTGTTGTATGAGAGTGTGAAAAGCAGTTACTTAAGGTAAATTTAAGGTACAAAAGAAATCTTCATATCTGCCTCTGGGTATTTAAACATGCATGAAAAACTGTCATGCATGTGATCAAGAGCCACTTCAAAATATAACTGACGACAAACAGGAATGGATATGGGGGAGGGACTCACTCTTTGAACATTTTCCTTTAATTAATTGCTTTCAAGAGCAAACATTTATTCAATTTTGATCCAAGTTTTCTTTTTTAAAATTGTTTCTCGCAGGTTTTCTATCGAAAAATATGTGTTATATTAATACTTATATTGTTCTACTTGGACCACAGACATGCTTCTTCTTCTTTTTGATGGTGTCCATACAGCTGTTTAGACTCAAGACGGATACAAAGATTCAAGATTTAATTGATTCCTAGAATTTCAAACAAGAAAATCCCACTAACAGTCATACAAAATAACTGGATAGTGGCAAAAGAGTTAGGTGTGTCACTTATTTAATGGACATTGCTTCAGCTTAGCTAACAAGATGTCAGAAATACACTTTCTGCATTCCTCTTTCCTGTCTTAGTTCTTGT